GCGGCGCCCCTGCACCGCCTGGAGGCGATAAACAGCGACAGTTTTACGGAGACTTTTTCGTCTTCTTTTTACTTCAAATATTTGTCTTCTTGGCCCGAACTTTGTTTTGCTGCAGAGGCCCCCGATGGGGCCCTTCTCGGCTACGTCATTGGTCCGTTTCAACTCCATTTTCATCCATTTTAATCCCTTTTAACGCGTTTTAACTCCTTTTATTCTCTTTATCCTTTTTTATTCCTTTTAAATCTTTTTAAATCTTTTTAAAATCTTTTTTAAATCTCTTTTTGGCTTTTTTGGCATTTTTGGGTCTTTTTTTGGTGGTGTTTTTGTCTTTTTCCATGTTTGTGTCTTTTAGTGTCTTTCTGCCTTTGAACAGCAGCAGCAAAATATCTTCTTTTTAATTTGCTTCTCAAGGATGTGTCTCTCTAAAACACACTAGCTGCTGCTGCTGCTGCTGCTGCTGTTGCTGTTCGCCATCACGGCAGCAGCAGCCTCTGCTTCTGCTAGAACGGCTCCTGCTGCTGCGTGTGCTGCTGGTGGCTGCCGCCTTCGCACCACCAGCTGCTGCTGCCGCCTGCGCAGCAGCACCCCCGCTGCTGCTGCTGCTGCTGCTGCTGCAGCAGCAAAAGGGTTTGCTGCGCGCTTTGCAGGGAAAGTGGAGGGCGAGGGGCCCGAGTGGCACGGGCACTTGACAGCACTTTCCGTGGCCCCGGAGGCGCGGGGCTGTGGGGTGGCTTCTTTGCTGCTGCAGCAGCTGGAAGAAGTTTGCTGCTGCGTCTACAAGTGCTGCTTCCTGGACCTTTTTGTGCGCGTCAGCAACTTTGCTGCTGTTTGCTGCTACTCCAAAAGGGGCTACAAAGTGCATGCAACCAACAAGGGCTACTACTGCGGCTCCGAAGACGCGCTCGACATGCGCCTCTTTTTCCCCGCAAACCAGCAGCAGCAGCAGCAGCAGCAGCAGCAGCAGCAGCAGCAGCAGCAGCAGGAGCGGGGCAGGCGCAGGAAGGGGAAACGTTGAGCAGCAGACTCAGCAGCAAAGCAACACACAATTCGGGGGGCCCCCAAGGGGCCCCTAGGGGGCCCCCTGGAGGGGGCCCCAAAGGGCCCCCAAGAGAACCCTAGGGGGCCCCCGGGGGCCCCTGGGGGGCCCCCAGGAGCTTTTATTGAGCGGGGTTTGTTGGACCCATTTACAATTTTAGGAAAATGCCTCAATATGCCTCTAGTTGCTGCCCGTGTTGCTGCTGCTGCTGCTAGTTTTGCTGCTGCTGCTGCGGCTGCTAGGGTTGCTGCTGCTGCTCGCGTTGGTGCTGCTGCCGCTCATGCTCGTGCTGCTGTTCCTCGTGCTGCTACTGTTGCTGCTGCTAATGCTGCTGATGCTATTGCTGCTGCTGCTGCTAGTGTTGCTGCTGCTGCTGCTGCAGTAGACAACTCGTAACAGTTTCGTAGCAAAGTTTTGTCTGATATATTGCTTGACAATGGGGGGCCCCTGAGGTACCCAAAGGGGCCCTTCCCGACCCTTTCTGAAAGACCTGTGCAGGCCGCTGGGGGGCCCCCTAAAAGGGGCCCCTACGAGGAGCCCCTCGGGGGGGCCCCCTGGGGGCCCCTCTCAGGAGGGGACCCTAGGGGGGCCCCTTAGGAGCCCCTAAAAGGGACCCCTTAGGGGCCCCTTTTAGGGGTCCCTAAGGGGTCCTTTTTAGGGCCCCCCTCCTAGGGGCCCCTAAGGGGCCCTAGGAGGGGCCCCTAGGAGGGGCCCCTAGGAGGGACCCCTTGGGGGCCCCCGAGATGGCCCCTGGAGGGGCCCCTAAGGGCTTTTTTGTGCCCTTTTTCTGGTGCTGCTGCTTGCGAGGGCCTCTGCAGCACCAGATGGAGTCAGGGGGGCCCCCAGGCCCTCAAGCCACGGGAGAGGGGCCCTTCAAGAAGGGCCCTCGGGGGGCGCC